TAAGTTAGTCTGTGGCACTAAGCTATTTAGTTATCTTAAGATCCAATAATAGATAACACACTATGATCCACGAATTTCTTAAGGCCTCACTTTCTGAGGGTCAATCCACACAGACCCCCACTTCTAGATAATGTACCATTTAATTATTAAATATATAAAATCAACAACTTTTTTGGATGTCGAGACTTGACAAGTTAACAAATCCATATCATATACCCGCTAGTGAAACGAATGATATTAAAATGCCAAAACCATTTGATGATTGGACTGTTCTTGAAAGATAGTTTAGATGAACTTAATGCTAGGAATGATATTAAAATTTCAAAACCATTTGATGACTGAACTGTTCTTGAAAGATAGTTTAGATGAACTTAATGCGAGGACTTATAACACTCTACATTGTTTTGTTGCCTGACATTTATATGAGAATATCCATGACAAATGCTGCAAAAGAAACTTGGGATAAATTGATAGTTAATTATTAAGGTAATAATGAAGCCGAAGATGCCATTATTGATAGGCTAGTACATGAATCTGATATTTTTTGTATGTTGCCCAATAAATCAATTTCAGATTATGTACATTAGATTCATAAAAATGATCAAAATATTGCATTCTCTTGAAAGAACATAAAAAAAATCAATAGTTAGTATATAAAACATTAATGTCTTCCAAAAGAATGTGATGCAAAAGTTACTGCAATTGGTGAGGCTAAGTATTTAAATTTGTATCCACTTGATAAGATACTTGGCTTCTTAATAGAACATAAATAGGTTTTAGCGCAATGGGACATGAATAATGTCGTCCAAAAAAAAGAAAAGAAAAAACAATTATTTGGAATTCAAAAGATGATATTTATGAAAACACCTCTACTTCTAACGTAGATAGCGATGAAGTGGTCATGTTGACTAGGAGGCTTTAAAATCTTCTCAAAAGAAACACCAAAGGTATGGAAAATCTAAAATATGTATATTGAACAGGAAGGGAAATTACACAACTAAAGGACCAATACGTTTCAACTGTAATAAACCTGAACAGTGATAGACCTAGTTGCCGATATAAAAAGGAGAGAAAAATAATATTAAAGGAATGATAGAAAAAATAATAAGCACCAAAAAAAGAAGAAAAAAGCTTTGTGGGAAAATGCAGAGTCCGAAAAGTCCAGCTGTAGGTCCAGCTCCTCAGGTGAAGAACTCAATTTGTGTTTAATGGTTACTGAGAATTGAACATAGAACTCACAATAGATATGTAATAAAATTAATTATGAAGAATTATAAGGGGCATTTAATGATTTAATTATCGAGCATAAAAGAACAAAAACTTTGATGCACTTTTATAGCTTAAAACAAGAATATTATGAAATGAATAATAAACATAGATCATTAAATGAAAATCTTTGCTAATTAATAAATTAGAAATATAAAATATTATGTTAAAAACAAGATTACATGTATGCTTAAAAGTACAAGTTTATTTTGTTGCTGCTATTAGATTTCATGCTAGAAATCAGATCACTATTGAGAAGTTCAAACACATCAAAACTATAAGTTTAAGCATTTTATTAATACAGATGTATGATGCAAAATTTACACATACTACACAACACGATGCAATTCCTTCCTATCAAGAATTTGGACCAAAACAAATATGGGTTACAAAAATTAGCCATTGGTTTTACTTTCTAAAATGCCTTCAAAGTAAATGAGTAAAGGCGTGCTGCATCATATACTCGAACAACGAGTATTCAAATCAAATGACAGAAGACGAAATAAAAATTTACAATGCTAGAACCACATGAAGATACTAGTTTAAAATATCATTTGAAAATAATTTTTAACCCATATAAAATTCATTTTTTAGATATTTAGTATATTTTAACATGAACATCAGTAAAAGTTTGTGTTTTATAATTTTATGCTACAATAAACATAAAATTATAAACAAGCCTGAAAACATAAAAGTTATATAAATTTCAAATTAAGCTTCATGAATATAGCTCACATGAATAAAATGTATTTATTTTATAAATCTCTTTAGGGGCTTTTACATACATATCGCATAGAACTTTCCTAATTAATTATCTTACACCTAAACTTTCATGATTACAAATATCATATGAAAAGTAGCACTCATTATCACATTTTAATAGTTAAATCCATCTTTTCATCCATAAGTAAAGTGCTATGTGCGTAAAAATGAAAGTTTAGGAATAAGATAGGTAAATCCATAAAAATTGGGTGCTATGTAATTTGCCCGTCTCTTTAATTATTGCTACAAGCGTTCACATTTTTATAATGATTTGGTGAAATCATATTTACTTATTTTTGTTTCAATACAATTTTTATTTTTTAAAATGATGGGAATTTTACGGCTTATTCCATATATTTTAAAAAAAAATCATAGCAAATCCTTTAAAACCACGCACACATTGAATACGAGAAAAATATATCAAGAATGTTAAACCTTAATTATTTTTTATTCTCACATGTTCAATCTATTTTTGTTCTTAATAAAGAGGATTCTTGTTAATATTGAAACCATCCTACTGATTTTAAAATTACTGACGTTTTTACAAAACCATTACCTAAAAAAATTTTAAAATTTTGTGTCATATGCTTAGCAAATTAGATCCTTCAATTTAAAATCACGTATTTTAATTTCATTTTAATATCTTTTACTTCATTTCTACATTGTTTGATGTTGCAAAAGGGGGAAAAATATGTATGTTGGCTTATACATATATTTTGACATGCATACATCTAGAGAGCATACAATTATTTTTATAAGTGGAGTATAATAAACTTGATAATAAATACAAACACAAAAATATCTTACAAGTTCACTTTGCATCTTCATCCACATATATAGCCAACATAGGTTTGTCATCATCAAAATCCAATGATGAATCATATATATCATGAAGCTAATAAAATAAATAAATTAATCAAGGTAAGTTCAAGTTATATACCTTTATTTTGGTAAATAATTAAGCTTAACAGTAATGTATATTTGAAAAAATATTTGTAGGATTGTAAACCAAAGATGATAACTCATTTAATAAATAGAGATTTAATATTTGGAAGTGATCGTTAGATTGCAAAAATAAAGAAGGATGAAAACAAAGAGAAAAATGACAAAGAAGACATTGGAAGTCATAAAAAAAAGAAGTTAGTGGAGGATTTTCCAGATCAAAGTATAAAATTTATATCATCGAATTTGTTAACAAACATATATGACTGCATTCTTAAAATAAGTTTTTAAAAAATAAATCGATTGAAAATAAACATAAAAGAGAATTATTAAATTATGTATTTTAATTAGAAGCTAATATTTATATTTAAGTGTTGATTAAATTACGATCGAAGGGAAAAAGTTTAAGAGAAAGTTAATAAATTCAATTATAGATCAATAGTAATTAGAGTTTTACCTATATTAAAAGTTATTCTTTTATTTTAGAAGTATTCATATTTTCAAAAATTAGAATCATAATAACATAGAAAAAGTAAACGAATTGATATTTTTTATAAAAATATCCATATATTACATATATGTTAAAAAAATTCATATATATTACATACAAATGTTCCAATGGTTGGATGAAAATAAATGGAATTTAAATAAAATAAAAGGAAATGTCAATCACATTAAATACTCCCTTATTGTATTAGCTGAGGATGATGTTGTTCTTATGTACGAATATGAAAGAAAAAAAAATGGAATCGGAAATGAAAATGCATGTAATGTAATTGCTATTTATTTCGATGATTTCTTAAATAAAATGTATTTAAAAATGTTATAAGTCTCTAATTAAAGGAACATCAAATAATCAAAAGATCTAATCAAAAGAAATTTTAATGTTTTACCTTCTTAATATAGCATGCATGCTACAGCATGCGGGGAAAAATTTAGTACACAGTAAAACAAAAATTAATAACTACGTTGTCATTTAAATTAACATATTATTTAACTGATTATTTCAAGAAATGATAGTTTGAATTAAATGATTGATAGGAGGAAACATATTTATAGAAGTAGATGAGCTAATGAAATTAGGTATCAGACAACATTGTTTATGCGTTTAGTTTCTTCTCTTTATTAAAGTTGTTAAAAATTGTATATCCTTGTGTGTTTATATATGAACGCATGTGATTTAGTGACACTTTACTGTGTGGATGATTCTTGTTTGAAGATTATTTTGAATATTAGTTTAATATGACACTATCATCCGACCATTGCTTCATGACAGTATTCTGCTAGATTCAATAACATGGTATTTTTTTTTTTTTTGTTAACTATATAAAATGCCTACAGCTTGGTAGGTCCTGAAGCCATATAACATCTCCAATTGACCAACCAACTTTGTTTCTAAGAGTACTAATTCAACTATTGTTTTCCCCTCAAGAGGAATTGAACCATATCTAAAACATCCAATCCAAGCATCAATATATGTTATTTTTACATTGTTTTATAGTTAGTAGATTTTCTGAATCATAATTTGAATTTTATGTAGTAAAGAACAATAAGAAACGTTGCACAGAAGTACAAAATTAACATTCCATGAAATCATACAGTTAAATTGAAAAAAATTGACAACAGCTTACAGCCACAAAAATAAGTAAAATAGCTTTTAAATTTTCATTTGAGTTTGCCGTATAGAAGAGCTTCATAACCCTAATGCAAAATTCATTAAATACGGCATATGCAATCAAGATCATGCTGTTGAAGAATTTTCCATAACTGCTTAGAAATTGTTAACAATCTGTTCCTGTTTATGTTTATGAAATGCTAAGTAAGACATCCAATGCAAATATGAAAAATTGCAGGTAAGTTTTTTTTTTATTATTTCAATGATTGCAGGCAAGCTTTTCTAAAGCATTACACAACTGAAAATTGAAGTAGTTTAAATTATGATTGAAGAAAAACTTCCCTTTAAAACAGAAGAAGAAAAAAACTAGACAGGCCGATCATGTATGAATGTCATAAACAAAGAATGGACTTACCAGTTCCTAGCTGTTGGAAAAAATCAATACCAGCGGATGTTAGGAGATCAATATCAGGACAGACAACAAAATAGGAAACCTGAAAAAGTTAATTCATAAACATCAACAAAATTGAACTAGCCGCTTCTAGTAGATTCCATTAAAGGAATATTTTCGACAGAAGTAGAATGTACAAAACAACTAAAATAAGAAATAAATCTGGGATGGAATTAAAAGCTAAATTCTAGAACTTACAGGCTTAGGCGAGGCATAAGGCTCTAGTGGAGCCTTCTCCCACAATTGAAGACAGTTAACCGAGGTTTTCAACCAATCATCCTGGTAACTAAAATAATACATATAAAATTCATCAATAGTACATTATCTTCTCAGCTTTTTTTTCATAATGGAATGCATTAATCAATAAAGAATGCATACCCAACAAGTAAAGTTGGTAAGGAGAGAACTGCTAGAGTAGGTTTAAATCGAGAAGTCAATTTCTGAGCATCTAACTCTGAGCAGGAAATGTCTTGATTTGACCTTCTTGGAGTAGAATCATCAATTCTAACACCCTCTGTGACATTCTCTGCTAAGTTAAAATACAAATGTTACAAAGTTGTAGCAGCGCAGGTCAAAAGAGATACCTTTAATGCACGAAGAGCCACCACCTGATTGTGGTGGACTTATTGGCTCGCTTCCCAAAGACACTGTATTTTGAGAATCCTTAGACTCGCCCATGGTAAATTGAAAAGGATGACCATCTCCACAGGTTCCTGAATCACCTAATTGGTGACGTCCTTTACACCATTCAGTCAAGGAGAGAGGACCTTCTGAACTAGGAAAAGCAGATTTTAATCCTAATTTAATGTCCGACTGCAGCAAACTAATTACATTTGAAACTTGAAGCTGTAACATGGAACAGAGAATTACTTAGCCACATGAAGTAAAAACTTTAAATAAAATAAATTTCTTGCGGAACAGAACACAAGTCAGCATTAAGATATTTTATGTAATGCAACAGAATTGAAAGAAATTAATAGAACACAGATGCGAATCTTCCAAAAAACAGGAAATTAATATATATAGTTAGGCAGAAGCAAGCAGAGAATAAGGGTAAATAAGATAAATGATATATATCCACATAGTAAATATTCGTACAATGAGGAGCAAAAGAAGAGTTAGGAAGAAATGTTAAAAATCTGAAAAGTTTAGGAAGGTAAAAGTGGCAATACAAAGGACCGGCAGAAATGAATCATGGTAAAAAAACCATGAATGCAGGCAAACCAAATGAGTGGATTTGAATATGGATAGAACATGGTCACGATAGTTCAGAAGAAAAAAATACTAAAGGCAACATTCAAATTTGTAAAAGTCTTGCTGACTTACCTAGGAAGAAGCCAAGTAAAATCAGCAAGAAGTTAATCCATAATACTTATCCAGAAGTTGGAATTACCGTGAACAGATGATATTCAGCAGATGCTATAGATTATTCTACTAAATATTAAGTGCTGGAAAAAATAAAATACTTAAACAGAAAGCAGAAACTAAAGAAATGACCAAGGAATAAGCAGAAAAACAAAATCATTGCACGACTTACATTAGCTGAAAGCGGATCCATTAACCCAATGCCAGCAATGTCCACATAGTGGCATGAAGCAAGGATTCCGCCACATCCAGCATGAACCATAGAAGGACCGCAAGAGAAACCCCTCCTCCGCTGCTCCTCTAATGCAAGCCAAGAATAGGAGCCATCAACATCATCCATATCAAAAGAAACATCAACAAAAGAAGCGGATTGTTGAACAAGTAGGCCAATTGCATCAAGCAGTTCCTGAAGAGGCTGCTTTTGCCCATGAAAAAAAATGATTTCTTCATTTGTCAAATTATGCGGCAAGGATGGTGAAGAAGGCTTTGTCCCTTTTGGAACACTAACTGGACGCCAAACACCAACAGATCCAGTTACAGGCGCATCCAACATTCCAATATGAACATCGCCTGCAATTCTAACGGGTAGCATTTCTGTCTTCTTTTCTTCATATTTGGTGGGAATCATATCAGGCATGCCACTAGTGTCAAATGAAATAAGATCAAGCATAGCATCCCCACTTAGTTTATTCAAACCAATATGAACTCTGTTGTTAAAAGATAATAAAGTGTGCCGAATCCTGCACATAGCAACCTGGAATATTATGCACTCAATTTCAGTAGCAAGTAGAGTCTCCAAGGAGAGAAGAAAATGTCCTGCCTCAAATGCACTATCACTGTTTTTATGCAATGGAGAAGTTCCACTGGATGAATTCATCACAAAAAGAGAAGACGATTTTTGTCCTTTATTTGATGGCATGCTATCACCGAACAATTTACTGTCGCTCTTTTTAGGCGCAGTTTTCACAAAAGTATATAATTTCCCAAGCTGACCGTGAGAACTTACAGCATATAGGCCAGTAACAGGTTTTAATTTAGAAGATTTTTCAAACCCTTCCTCCTTATCAGAAAATGAAGGAGAAGGCGGTGTTGCACCATAAACATAAGCAGAAGAGGGTATGGGTGAAGCTTCAACCTTTTTAGAACCTGGTAAGTATGGATTTCTAAAAATTGAGATGCTGAACTCTGTCGAAAATATTTCAACTGCTGCATATTCTGGGGCAAATGACAGTACGGCTTCTGCTTTGGTCAATTTGTCGAACTTTCCATTGGATGATATCAAAGAATGAGTTATTGTAACAGATGATTTAGCATCCTTGGTAGCATCATTATCCTCCATAAATGTTGAAGATGGTTGGTTATAGTTCTCAGAAGACGTAAGACCAACCGCCGATATTCTCTGGTCAGGACTATCGATTCCAACTGTACAAGGACTGCCGCTGATATCTCCACAATCAATAGATGGAAATACAATGACCTGAGACTCGGCAGTTCCTGGTGGCTATGAAATAATTAACAAAAAACTTAATCAATTCTTGAAAAGAATAGTCTAAATCAGATCAGTTTAACAAAGAGACATGCCAAAACACATCCATGATTGCAAAAAAGAAAAATAAAAACCACCAATACAAACACACAATTTAAAATCATCCATAACATATAAGACATACCTCACCAAAATTGAGTACATCAGTTTCAAAGAAGTCACCGAAGTCTCCAAACTCTGCGAGAAGTGATTGGATGTCTATACCAAAACCTCTGTCCTCATCATTCCAATCCCAACTTGAACAAACTTGAGCATTTGCAGATCCACCAATAGCTGAATTATTTGCATCAACAACGCTAAATTCAGATTTGGCTGCATTTTGTGTAGTTGCACTTGCGATTGTGGCTGCTTGACCAAAAACATCAGTGACACTTGAGCGAACACGCTTAGAAACCTAAATTAAAGGAGGTTCACCGGGATCAAGATATATGAGAAAAAAGAATACTAGAACTATCCACCATAAAAATAAGAATCAAATAAATCTAATGAAAAATTTTAACAAAAGCAATATGATCAAACAAGATGCATGACAAGCAACAGAATTTTGAAATCCAAATAGATATGGAAACAAATTAAAAATAATAAAAAAAAGGCTTGGGTGCTGCATGACCAACTAAGCTGGTTTTTCAGTCCGGCAGCTGGCTAAGAAGTGCTATCCTATGACAAAACTAAACAAACCAAATTCATCAATTGAAATTCATCATGCTGTATGAATACGGAGGGCAACCAAAGTGTAAATAGCCATTAAGTCGCATCGTGCCTTTAGCTAAACTAATCAAACACCCAACAAGCATTCATGAGTATTGCAGAAGGTTTAATAACTGGACAAATGAAAAACAGAGACTTGAGTAAGAAGATTCATCAATTGATGGGATTCAACAAATTATCCTACCACAATTAAACAAATCTCAGGGGTCTGGGCATTGAAAATCCCGACACTGCCTTGTTGAATATTTATTTCAGGTTGATGAAGTCCTTATTTTTTGGTTCAAAATTTCTTAGAAGTACAAACCCTTATGAATAATTATATCTCTCAATTACAAGAGAGCACTTTCAATGAAGGTTCATCCATAAGTTCTGCAGAGCTTTGCATTAGTGAAAGCAATTTGAATTACAGAAAGATAAATATACCATTATTGACTCTAGAGCAGATAATGAATTAATGATGAAAAATATCATCAAAATCCTATAATTTTGTCATCATGTGTTGTCATGGATCCGAGTCAACTAAGCCAACAGAGGTAGCCTATCCAATTTGACCAAAGGATACCCATCAAAAATCATAATTGTGAACCTAAAATAAAAGATCGCCAAAAAGATCAATGTCAAGGCCGACTTGGCGAACATAAGGCTTCATGCTCTATTGAGTGCATCTCATATAAACAACTTATAGACTTAACAATTGGAAAACATTAACGTTAAGGTCGTAACTCAATATGATGGTTCCATTGCAATCAAGTAAACCATATTTTCATTAGATATGCACTACATCCTTAATGTCATGAGATTTTTCAGCAATGCCATATGAATACACTTAATGTAACATCAGTTCCTTATGAGCTTTGTTCAAACATGAATGTGAACATTTATTGCTTTGGGTTTTACAAGCTTCTATCCATTTTTCTATTTTTATATATGTTTGTAGGGGTTGAATATGAACGAAGCTCCCTCCAGTATATTTTTTTCCTTAAATATGCCTATCATTGGAAAAAAAAAAATTGTGATTTTTCAAGGAATTTACATAAATTCTTATGAGATATAAATTCCATCCCGTACAAACATTTTAATATTAAAACACAACATTAGGAATGTGTTCATTGGAAATGGCATAGTTTCCCAGTCATAGGATTGTTTTATCTTAGGCAAATAGAGCAATCATAATATTGGCATGCATGCCAAGGCAAGGGCACATTTGTTCTTACTTTACATGCACCATGAGCCTTGTTAACTCTGGTATTAACTAGCAAAGGGTCAAACTCTCAAATGAGAGTACAAAAGTGACGATATTGGCACAAAGCGATTCTGTTAGGGAGACTCCAGGAATTCTATTATCTTACTTTAAAGGATACAGAAAATGGGTCTATATGGAAAGAAGTTAGAGTTAAATTTTCCCAATATTGAAAGATAATGTGGATTACATTGGGTGAGACTATTGAAGAGCAGCAAATTATGTCAACAGCGATAATTATTGCCGAGTCACGAGCCGTGTTAACTATCTTATTGTTTGTACAGGATCTAACCTAAAGAATGAGATGCACAGCCCTTACCTCTATATAGACGATGGCCCAAAGAGGGTTTTTAAAAGAAAGATCACATAAAGGGGTTCGAAGGACATATAAAAATGCAATATCAAATAACTTGGTGAGACTAGTAATTAAATTATGATCGCTCTTCTGTTGTAGAAAATGTTTGTCATATCAGAAGCAACAGGTTTAAAACGATTATCATATCAATAGGACAGCTATGAGAATGCAAGCCTTGTCAAACTAGCTCCTAGTACATGAAGGATAAAGACAAAAATTAAATTCGATGTTTTCTTGATGTCTGAACCCATGTTTGCAATTATTAATTATTTTTTGGAGTTGTTCATGGTTCATGAGTGAGAAAAAAGGAATCACGTGCCTCAAAATGCACATAAGGTCCAATAATGCTCAGAATATCTTCTAAAAAGTTTCCCAGAATTTTTTGTACTCTATCAGATCTTCCTTCCCTTTTTCATTTTTTGGCTTCTTTGTTCATCTGATTTCGAAATATCACAAAATATCAAGAACGTTATACATCTTCTTGACTTGCTTGAGCGTGTGTGCATGCAGGAGGGTGAGATGTTTGAGTGAAAGGGTAGGTTCACGAGCATTTTATTATGACTTGGACACTATATGGAGCGATAAAATTTCAACCTGACTTTGCTCAAAGGATGCACATCACTTTAAAGGTGCTCTGTTTAATTTTTAATATTGAAATTGTCACCAAGGTGTTTATTAAAATGCAAATAATTCCGCATTTTGGCGGTTTGGCATGCTTTTGAGTCATGCGCACGCTTTCCACATAGTTCAAACCTAAAAACTATCCATGTTCATTTTTTTCCCGCCTTTTTCTTTCTTTTATCAAAATGCATGAATAGTTTCAGGTTCATGGGCATCTTATTTTAGTCATTTACATACGTTTCTACATAACTTTTTTTTTAAATCGATTTCAATTTGTTGTAACATTATTTTAGTGAGTACATTAGATGAGGTTATTGATACACTCCAGAACCAAAAAATCAGCAAGCAACAATGACGAAACGGCAATAGATTGATTGAGAAATTCAAATGAGGGCTGCAATTTTGAAAAACAAATGCAAACAAGCAAGATACAATGATGATCTACTTTTTTAGAGATAGATCGCTCTCCCACAACCCTAGACGTCGCCAGGACCTTCCCCAAAAGAAGAAAACACAGCAGACAGCAAAAACATGCATAAAGAAAACAAACTCTAGGTACATCTCCTTAATAGAATCCTCCCACAGCATTTGAATACTTTCCTTCCAAACTTTCCCTCCAAACTCCCCTAATTTTTCCTCATTGAATATGTGATTATGGCACTAATGGAACCCTCCCGCTCCTTTCTTCTGCGGCCTGCCTTGACCACTCTGTCTATTGAATATGTGATTATGGCACTAAGAGATAGACCGCTTGCGGGCCTGCAGGGTTGCTTTCAGTCAGACCATGACGAACCGAGTCAAGTCTGAGCCTAATACTACTCCCCTCTCAAAAAAAGTACCTTGTCCTCAAAGTGGAATGATGGAAACTGTTTGTGAATCACCTCGTAAGACTCTTATGTAGCTTCATACTCTGGCAGTCATTTCAACTTAACCAATACATCATTTGCTCCCTCTACTCGACACATTCCTTAGATTTCTAATGACTCCAGAATCACCTCCAAGTCCTCTGTCAGCATCGGCGGTAGTGTAGACGAGGGTCTATAATCTCCAATCGCACGTCTTAGCTGTGACACGATGGTGGTAACTTCAAACAATAAGTCGATGCCCCAATGCATGTCATCACCTCATACAGACTAAATTATCACGGAGAAAGTCTCTCGCTCCACTTGACCAACGATTATGTTGGTAGGGCCTCAGCTTCAAGTAGACCAAGTATCTTATTTCAAACTGCACCTCTCACCTGTGTTCATCCTCTTTGCTCTTCATGATTTGCTGAGCTCTCAGTAAATGCCCCTTAAGCTCTGCTAGTATCCTATCTCTCTTCTCTAAGTACTGATCGACGTTGAATATCGGTGTAGCGCTATGCCCATAATGTACTAAGTGAGGTGGATCCCGCCCATACAATATCTTGAAAGAGGTTGTTTGTGTTGCAGTGTGATAAGAAGTATTATGTCAATATTCGGCCAAGCAATCCACTTAGCTAATAGTTTCAGCGTATCAGATACAAAACAACTCAAATATGTCTCCACACTCTTGTTGACCACCTCCATCTGCCCATCGATCTGGGGATGATATGCGATGCTCCATTTAAGGACTATACCTTGTAATCTGAATAGTTATTTCCAGAAGTAGCTGAGGAACACCTTGTCCCTAACTGATATTATTGATTAAGGCACTCCGTGCAAACGAACCACCTCCTAGATAAACACTATCGAGACAGAGACCGCTGTGTGGAGATGTCGTAAGGAAATGAAAAGTGAATACTTACTCGAGCGATCCATAACCACTATGATCACCGTGAACCCTTCTTACTATGGCAACCCCTCGATAAAATTCATCGTCAATTCTTCCCAAACTTTCCCTGGTAATGCTAATGGTTGTAGTAAACCACCTGGTCTCATGATCAAGTGTTTGTACCGTTGACATACATCGTATTTTGTCACCATATTTTTGACATCTCTGTGCATCCCCACCAAATAAAGCTCTGCCTCTAGACAATTGTAGGTCATATGTACCTCTAAGTGTCCCTCGAACGCACTGCCATGAAACTCCTGTAATAATCTAGGAATAGATTCTGATGCCTTGGGTTGCACGAATCTCCCATGGTGGAGCAGCTGCTGCCCCCTCAATGCATATCTTGGATGAACATTCGGGTCCTGTAGTAGCTCAGCCCTTATCTTCTTCAACTCCTCATCCCATTCGCTTTCCTATCTCAAGGCTTCGCAACTATTACCAAGGGTACCGATAGGGCCGTCAATTAGGATTCCTCCACCTTTCTTGACAGTGTGTCAGTTGTCTTGTACTCCAATCCTAGCTGGTATTGAATCTTCAAATCATTCATCAATAGCTTGGATAGCCATCTCTGATGTTTCTAATTCACCATCCACTGCTCCAGAAGATACTTTAAACTTTTCTGATCTATCCTGACCAAAAAATATCAACCCAATATGTAGAACCGTCACATTAGAAC